ATCCTTCTGTCTCTGTACCCCACGGTGCAGGGACAAAAGCCTGACATGGTCCCACTCTGAGGACCTCTGTGAAGTCACTGGTGTGGGAAGGCTTTCATTAGTGTGCATTTCATATTCTCCCCAGGACACACCAGCTGCCAGAGTCAACACCTACAATTTCCCCAACTGTGGAGGGCCATGGAGTCAGGCGCGGCTGCTTCTAAGGTTATATCCTATTTTCCTGTCTGCTGGGAACAGGGAAGCTCAATTGAGAAAATGCCTCACCAGACTGGCCTGTGGGCAAAGCTATGGTGCATTTTATTAGTTGATGATCATTGTGGGAGGGCCCAGCTCTATGTGGGTGGTACCACCTCTGGGCTGTTGGTTCTGGTGCTGTAAGAAACCAGGCTGGGAGCCGGGCATTGGTGGCGCACGCCTTTAATCCCAGCACTCGGGAGGCAGAGGCAGGCAGATCTCTGTGAGTTCGAGACCAGCCTGGTCTACAAGAGCTAGTTCCAGGACAGCCTCCAAAGCCACAGAGAAACCTTGTCTCGAAAAACCAAAAAAAAAAAAAAAGAAAAAAGAAAAAAGAAAAAAGAAAAAAGAAACCAGGCTGGGCCAGTCATTAGGAGCAAGCCAGTAAGCAGCACCCCTCCACAGTCTCTGCACCCAGCTCCTGCCTCCAGGATCCTGCCCTGACTTTTCTCAGCAATGGAGTGTGACCTTAGAGTTGTAAACTGAAGTAAACCCTCCCCCCCCCACACACACAAAATTGTTTATGGTCATGTATTTTTATCACAGAAATAGAAACTCTAAGACACCACCCAGAAGTGCACCAGAAGTCATTTTATCCTAGAATTCCTTGCTGGGTGACCCAAGGGCTCACACATGAGGAGGCCTTGCTCTCACGCAGCGCCCCCGTGCTCCTCTCACCATGACATCTCATTACATCCTCACTGTGACATTATGACTGGCAGGAGGCACCATCTCTCCTAGCTCCAGTGGAATAATGAGAAGACTGTAACACAGGTAGGTCGAGCTGCTTGCCCAACAGCATCACAGGGCTGTGAGATGAATTATGTGACCCAGGAAGAGAGGGATGAACTGGCTCAGATGGTGCCTGAGCTCTTGAGCCCCATAACGCTAGGATCACCTACTGGACTTGGCCTTTAGGCCCTGCCAAGGCCCTGGCACCCGGCACTCTGAGTTCCAAACTCTCACAACTGCCTTTTCTTTATTTGAATCAAAACAAAAAATTTCAATGAAGAAACTTAAAATTTTAGAAGTCTTAGATTTACAGAATGATGCAACAGGCAATGCAGAGACCCCTATACCCCGCTTCAAACATTCCACTCTGAATTTAAGAGTCTAATGCCCCCACATCCTCATCCTCTGCTGTGAAAGCTTACATGCTCCATTAAAAATGTGAGGACACAGAAGTGGGGAATGGATGCATTCAGAAGCTCTCAGGAGATGTTGGAGAAATGGTTAAAATGTATTTAACCCCAGAAAACCAAGACAATGTCTATTCTTCCTATGCTGGGGAAGGAACCCACACACACCACCACACATGCCTGGCAAGTTCTCTGCCTCTGAGCTCTATCCCGGCTGGACAGGCAGTGTCTGGTGAGGACTGACCACCAGCCCTTCTGAGCCATATACCTGTGCTGAATATTGTCCTTGTCTTGTTCTTTGAGCTTATTTCAGAGGCTACCATCTTTCTGGGAGGCTCTAGGAGTCTGTCCCTACTCTGTGGCTCATGTATACGCGCTGGACTCAGCAAGGTCTGGCCACCCAGAGTGGCTATCTAAGTGGCTTCTGACTGCTTGCTCCCAGGTATGTACTGGACTCAAGTTACCAGATGGTTCTTGGCTAGTACTCCTTTCTATTTTTAATTGAATCTTAAGATTACTGGGCACTGCATAAGGCAATCGGTAAAGACCCAAGAGCATCCTGTGGTGGTGGTCCCCATCCAAGCTCTTCCTGAAGACCTCGTCTGAGCTATTGCAACACCAGAGCAAACGAGCCCTCCCTGCTAGCTCTCACCTCACAGGAGTCTGGTCTGCCTGTGTGGTTAGGAATGCTACACTGGGAAGGACAGAGCTCCGCTTCTGGCACTTTTCCTTCCCAGTTCACTGAAGTGCGGCTCATCCCCGGGAGATGTATCCAGGGCTCCAAGTCAAGGTCATTGGCATGCTGGTTAGAAGGTAATCCCAAAAGAGTGCAAACGATCACCTGATGGGCATGGTGGCAGGCGCTGTTTAAGCTTGCTCATCAAGGCACCACTGTGCCTAGCTCTGGGGTGGGAACCGGGGAGGGGCTTTAAAGTGTAGGTCCTGAGATGCTGCCCAGGCACACATGTGTTTTTAAAGTCCTATGCCTAAAATGTACGGCCTTATTTAGGAATAGATGACTTAAAATTTTAATCCTAGTTTGTTCTTAAAATGGGAATTAGGTTGATGTAAACTAGACATAATAGCCGTCTGGATGTAGCAAAACTTTTATTAGACACTAACAACCTCTCTTTAATTTTTTTATTTTATTGTTTTTCCTGTATGTATGTCTGTGTGAGGGTGTCTGATCCCATGGAACTGGACAGTTGTGAGCTGCCACGTGGGTTCCAGGAATTGAACCCTGGTCCTCTACAAGAGCAGCCAGGCTCTAAACCGCTGAGCCATCTCTCCAGCCCTAACGACTAACTTCTAATCACTTCACAGGGGAAGTGAGGGATGGTCAGATGTGAATGGGTTCTTAGACACACTCTCCATAGCTCCACTTTTAACCTGGGCCCAGAAAATGGTCATGTGACCAAAAGCGCCTTTATCTGTGGCAAAGGGCAAAGCATAGAGTTGAGGCCACCCTTATTTACAAGGCAGATAGATGACAGAACGCCAGGCTGAAGGAGGCAGAAAACTCGAGCTCTGGGAGAGGCCCTTGAAGACTGAAGTGCTGAGAGGCACACACACACAGAGTGATCTGAAAGCTGCAGGGCAAACCCCTCCCAGGCTGAGGGAAGGGTGAGGGAAAGCCGGGCTCTCCTTCATGTTTGCTCCTGCATATTTGACTGACTTCATATTTCCACAGTGCTCAATCCTTTTTCCTTTTTCTATTTTCAAGTGTGTGTGTGTGTGTGTGTGTATGTGTGTGTGTGTGTATATGTGTGTGTATATGTGTGTGAGTATGCGTGTATGTGTGTGTGTGTATGTGTGTGTGTATATGTGTGTGAGTATGCGTGTATGTGTGTGTGTGTATGTGTGTGTGTGTGTATATGTGTGTGTATGTGTGTATATGTGTGTGTGTGTGCGTGTATATGTGTGTGTATGTGTGTGTGTATATGTGTGTGTATGTGTGTGTGTATATGTGTGTGTATGTGTGTGTGTATATGTGTGTGTATGTGTGTGTATGTACCCCCGCACTCAAGTGTTTGTGCACGTGTCTGTGAGTGTGCATGTGGAGGTCTGAAGTTGATGTCAGGATCCACCCTTCTACCTTATTCAGAAGCAGAATCTCTCAGTCAAACCCAGACCTCCTTGGCATAGCTCACACTGTTGGCCAGCTTGCCCTGGGGTCTCCGACCCTGCCTTCTGAGGCTGCTCACACTGCTGGCCAGCTTGCCCTGGGGTCTCCGACCCCGCCTTCTGAGGGTGAATTACAGGTGGCTGTCATGTGGATCCTACTGACAGGAACTCTGGGTCTCATGCTCTAACTACTGAGCCATCTCTGCAGCCCAAGATACAATTTTCTGATTCTGAGAGAGTTTAATAACACTCTTCATGAAGATTATCCATATTGTTTAATAAGTTACCATCTAAAGACTTTATATTCTAATTTTTTCTGTAAATGGGAAATTTTCAATATTTAAAATTGCTATTATTTCTTATGAAAGAAAACAAATGGTTTTTATATAAAATTTATAAATGCCTCCTAAGTTTTTTTTGAGACAGGATTTTATTATTCTGTAGCCCTGGCTGTTTTAGAACTTATTCTGTAGTCCAGGATGGCCTAAGACTCACAGATACCCGCCTGCTACAATGTCTAACTTCCTATTGCTTTTAATATTTATCTTACTGATTTTAAGTATGTAAGCCTCTATGTCTGCAGTCGAGATAAGTCTGCCTCTCCCAGTATGTGGCCTTCTTGGTTCTCCAGAATGAAGCTGACCATCAAAGGGCTGCTTCACATGGAGCACCAGGGAGCTTGGAGGAGGCGGGGCTTCAGGCAAATGCACATCTGTCTTGTTACCTACCACGGGACAGTGAGCCCAGCCGCCTGGGGACCCGATTCTCTTGTCTCCTCTTCTGGGGTGAGCCCCCCACATCAGTCACAGCACTCTAATATGGGGGTCTCCATCTGCAACACTGCCCTGAGAGTCCTCACTCCTATCAGAGGGCCAGCTAGGGTGGGGCCTCTTCACATTTCCCCCTCCAATTCCCCAAATACTGTGGGCCCAAGAGGTGCTGAACTTAAAATTAGTCCCTGAAAAGATGCTGCCCGATTCATGACCTGGGTGCTTAAACTGAGTTATCTCACTGGAGGTAAATCACTCTGAGCACCTAGAAAATCAACAGTGGTGAAGTATAGCATAAGCATCCCTACCCCCTATTCTCTCTGTCTCTCTGTCTCTCTCTCTCTACTGGTAGAACATGGAAACCATCTTCAGGGCATTCTCTGTGGCGCTGCCCACAGGTTTTCCAGCCTCTCTTGGTCTGGAAGGTACTATTCAGGATTCCTTTTTTCTGGCTTCTCCTCGATAGTGTTTCTATGACAGGCAGCTCTGGAATGATTCTTAGAAACCTGTTTTGTTCTTTTGCTCCATTGCCCGGATACTTCTGCTGGCTTAGCCTTGCCCTTTAAACCCATTTCTTGCTGACATTATAGGACCTGAGTGGGGCCACCCCATCCTCTAATGGAGTCCTCTGTGTTTATTTAACTGGCAGTTCAATGCTGAAGGAAACACAGAGTGACTTGAACCCTGTGCTAGAGGGTCACTCTGATAATGCTCCCAAGCTCATGGCTCTCACCTGCTGCTTGAGTGCCTCCAAGGATTCGAATTCCAATCTGGCCAGTTTCATCTGGATATGCCGTGGTTTATCAGGGATGGCAAATGCAAGTATGAACTTCAGAGCCAAGAGGGCATGCTGCAAAGACAAAGACCTCACGTTGATACCATCACCCACATGTTTTAGCAGACAAGTTTGATCCTAAAGAACTGGGAACTCTTTCTGTCAATTTTTAGAGACTCTTGAATGAGTGGCCTCTGACATATCAAAGGCCAACAAGGCCAGGAGTTGTACTGGCCCACTCTGGTGGGGTCCATCCAGCAGTTACTAGCGTATTTTGCTTTACTCTTTTAAAATAAGTTGTTGTACACACATCGATACCATGTGCCACTCTTGGTGCTCTGTAGAAAAGTAAAGTCTATTCCAAAGCCTTCCACAAAATGTTTTGACCTGTTGTGCATTAATGGGCAATGTGTTTAGTATGTGGCATCCCTCAGCAGCTACATTTTGTGGCCACCACCACACAGCTGTAAGGCAGCCTGAGTCACAGGCGTAAGTGCCTTGGAGTCTCCACACCCCCCTGGTGTCTGCTGTGGTTTCTTTCACGACAAGATAATCGTTAAACATTGATGGGCTGATTGCAATCTTAAACTGTTCTCCCTGCACACAGCAGCGGGGGCAGATTGCCGTGTGCCCTTCCAGACACTAGCAATCAAGGACCATTCTCCTTCTCCTCTAGCATCATTCAGAAGTGGCCCATACACACATGAGATTTACAGTCAGGTGGACAGACAGCATTGCCTCTCATGGATCCCACACAGCAAATGCACAGCCCCACCCAAAAGACTTTCCACAAACCCAGCAATGCCTGGTGTCTTGTGAATAGGTTCAACACCCTCAGATATCTGAATCATCAAAGAACAAAACCTGTGTGGGGAAAGCATGGCTAACGACAATCTTTAAAGGTAAGAAAGAAATAGAAGGTGGTGAAGACATCAGCAAGAGACAGACAGCTTAAGATGAGTTACACTTACTGTTGACAGGAAAACAGATGGAGGAAAATGAATTCCTTACTGCAAGATTTCAAAAGATGGAGGAGACATAAACAGTGATAGGAAGGGGAGGAGGGTGGGGAGCACAGGAGGGGGAGGAGGGTGGGGAGCACAGGAGGGGGAGGAGGGTGGAGAGCACAGGAATCAGCACTGTGCTGGACTGAGCATGCAGAAACTGGAAGATGTAGAAACGACTGGTTCCCAGCCAGATCCTGCACTGACAGTGATCTGGATGACTTGGGACAGGAGGGCTGGGCGGCCTTGACCTCACTATGGCTGCCTAGGTCAATACCATCAGATGCTTAGGCAGACAAGAACAGAAAACAGCACTGGTTGTTAGTTCTCATGCAGTGTAGAGGAGTTGAGACTGAATATAATCTACAAAGGGTAGACCAGCAATGAGAAGAGCCAGGTTGTACATTGTTCTACATGTGGACTGGGGTACATCACACAAGAAGCAAGTTAGCAGATGAGGAGGACCATCCTGGAGTTTGCAGCTGGAGCCACACCTACCCCTAGTCCATCCAGCCTCTCCCAACAAATCCCCACACTTATTTGTGTCCCTCAATTCTTGGTAGGAATCGAAACAAAGTTCCTCTGAGGCCTGAGTTTCCCTTGGGTGCACAGCATTTGGGAGGGACATGGAACCATCTCCGGTTGGTTCCCCGTCTTTACAGGATATACTCTGCCAGGCTCCTGGCCTTACTGATCAAGTCTGACCATTTGCTCAGAAAACAACTTGTAACTTGGAGAATCTGGAACGGGTCACCTGGCTGGCCACTGCTGAGCTAGCAGCCTCTAGCCCGGCTTAGTTCCTAGTCTGCCAGGACTGACTCCCTGCATCAGCACCCAACAGTCTCACTCACTTAAAGAAGAGCTGATGTGGAACAGGACATATCTGAGGGAAAATGCACTCCAAATGGAGGGTTGGATGGAAGGAGCCTGTCTATGAAAGAGGTGGTGTTTTTATGAGCCATGACCCTAGCTATTCATCATCGTGGCCCTTTGTTTTTAAGTTGGGTGCTTTGATGTTTTAGAGACAAGCTTTCACTATCCAGCCATGCTGGTCTCAGAACTCATGACTTGAGAGTTCCAACCGTCCGTGGGGTGACAGCTGTGTGCCACCAACACCAGACTCCAGCAGCATTTTCTAAAAAGTAAAACTCTCAAAACTGTATCCTAAACAAAAGAGAAAAGAAGTGGTGTGTGAGGGGGTCAAGTGGGAATTTTAAAACTAGTAAAAAGTTGGTTCAGCACAACAGTTTGATTAAGCAGTGTTTACAGAAAAGAGTAAGAAAAGCAGAAAGACAGGGCCACAGGAAACCGAGCTGAGTCCAACACCTCCCTCTGCTGACCACCAGCAAGCAGGCTGTCTCATTTCACTGCAGGATTGCATGGGGAACCCTGGGAGTCTCCAGCCGGGAGCCTAGGGAGTGGGGCCTTTTTTTTTTTTTTTTTTTTTTTCTGTGAGAACTACAATTTGGGTTTCATCAGAGCAGTAGCTGTATTTTCCTAGCAGCGTGTGCTCAGCCCCTTGGCTTCTGAAACAAAACACAAATCAGAGTTGAATTCTTGGAATCCTGAGAAGGGAATTTGACTCCTACAGGGCTTGCCGTGTGTGCAGCAACCTCAATCCAACCCAAGAAACTTCCTCAGAAAAATAAAAACCTTCTTGATCATCAGAAAAATTACCAAATGTAGTCAGATATCCACCCTGCATATACCTGCAGCACTGACCACGCCCACTTGGGCATGGTCACAGGTGAGGATATGATGGAGAGTGAGTTTAGGTTTGAGGTCTGGGCAGATGGCTTGCTCTTGCCTGTGCAGATCCTGAAAGTGGGAACCTGCAGCGGCCATCTGCTTTTTGTGTAAGAGACTTCTCCCCAAAATAAATTACATTTAACCTATATTTGAACCTAGTCCTGTGAATCACCATCTATGCCTCCGAAGACAGATGCTAATTTATAAAGAGCTTGAAAAATAACAAATGGGTAACTTCCTTTACCCATTGGTAATGTTCTGTAGTCATTTTTATATTTTTATCTTTTAATTTCATCAGATTTATTTTAATATGTCTAAGTGTTTTGTCTGTATAAATGTCTGTGTACCACATGCAGGTCTGGTGTCCTCAGAGGTCAGAAGAGGGCACCAGATGTCCTGAAACTGGAATTGTAGATGGTTGTGAGGCACCATGTGGGTGCTGGCTGAGAACTGAACCCAGGACTTCTGCAAGAGCAGCAAATCCTCTTAACTGCTGCTCCATCTCTCCAGTTCCTGCTTTTAAATTTTAAATTCCACTTTCCTGTACCCCTCCCTTCATACTTCTGTAAGTTACTTACTTATGCACCTATAAGTTACCCATACACTCGCCGGTTCATCAACCTAGACATGGGTAGAACTGTTGTTTTGCTTGCTGCTGTACCACATATGGGGTTAGCAGAAAGTCATTTGTTCTCATCCCCCAGGCGAAAGTCACAACAAAATGTCACACAGTTTGTCTTTGTGAGATAATGAACAAAGCTCCTTTGGAGTTTAAAGGGTGTTCATGGTGTCTTCTACCTGGTTAGAGATGGGGCAGGGGCCAGAGGCTAGGGGCCAGGGCAGGGACCAGGGTGCAAGGGGGGGGGGCCAGGGACGAGGGCAGGGGGCAAGGCCAGGGCAGGGGGCAGGGGCCAGGGGGCAGAGACCAACGGCCATCAAGTTGTGTCCATGAAACCTGTTTGGTTAGCAAATCTGTTAGGGACAACTTGTCATATCAAACTTCCTGGGCCCTAATGGGGCAACACAAGGCGTTCCTTCTCTCCCTGATTGTGGGGCACATGGACTTGTCTGTCCTCTGAAGCAAACTAGGTGCTATGACTCCTGCTCCATCTCCCTTCACTCCCAGTGCGTGACAGAGCCCAGGAAGCTCAGGGGCATGCAGGGAGGGAGGCAGGGCAGCATCCTTTCATGCAAAGCATGCTGCTGCACGTCTGCTGTAGGATGCAGTGCTGTCAGAGCTCGTGGCTTCCACAGGCTGCACAGTGGGACGTCCATGGCCCCTCACTCTCCCATGCTTCTATGTGAAGCCCTCTGGCTGACACCAAGTGGACAGTGACCAGTGACCAGTGACCAGAGGAGAGCAAAGGCAGGTACAACAGCGCCCATGCTTAGACATGGACACGGCAATCCATGAATCTTCTTTTCCTCAGGTTTCTGTCATTCCTACAGGTGTAAGATATAGAGGTGGTCATTTAAAAAGTCACCCCCATGGCCACCTCAGCTCAGTTTGGGCCTCCAGGTATCAGTTAAAGCAGTCTACCTGCCATCTATTTTTCAGAAGAAAAATATTACTGGGATGAATGCTTATGTCCTTCAGTAGCACACCTAAAAATCAGACCAGGTCTGTTTATAAACAAAGAGAAAGTGGGCCAGAGACACAGCTCAGTGTGCTTGTCCAACACGCACAAAACCCTGGATTTGATCCCAAGGGCTGCAAGGAAATAAGAGGAAAAATCTTTTCTGAGTTTTTGTGTGAGGAGGGTGCATGTGTGAGCTTGCTTGTATGGGTGTATATGTGTGCTCATGTGTGTGTGCGTGTGCATGTATGTGCTGGTGTGTGAACACGTGTGAGGGATAACCTCAGTGTCTTCCTTGGACTGTATCCACCTTTCTTTTTTGAGACAGTATAGCTCACTGGCCTGAAGCTTGCCAAGTAGACTGGTCTGGCTGACAAGGGAGCACCAAGGATCTACTGGATCCCTCCCCACTGCTGGGATCATATCATACCTACACGCCTGGTTCTCCCATGTGGGCTACAGGGAGCACCTCACTGACTGGGCTGCCTCCTAAGCCCCACCTTTGAAAGTCTTCAATCTAACACTGGGCATCTGCATAGACAGATGTTTATTTATTCATTTCTGAGTCCCATTTGGATCCTAGGTCTTGAATGAAGGTGAAACAAGCACAAGAATCACAAAACCCTGCAGCATGTGAGGAGTGTATGCCCAGGGGTCCTCCAGGCACTGCTGCAGCTGCTGATTCATGACACGGAAGGGGAAAAGCAAAGGGGTGTGTCTAACATTTTAAAAGCCACTTAAATGT